ATGAGACGAACTATTTTTGCAGTTACAGGAACCCAGCTTCGGTGTATGGACGGAACACGAGCCATCTGGAACTAAGATCAGCCCCAGTTGGCAGGCAACCAGTTAGAAATGCTAGACTTGAAGATCATTCTTCGTATGCGTAAACACTGACAAAATTGATTACAAAAACTAAGTTGCCAAAATTAATTTGGTATAATTTGGCATTAATTTGGCTAACTTTTATTTAATATTTTACTTTCCTGTAGCTTGTAGAGGCTTACACCTTTTCCTTTTGAATTTTAGTATGTATTTTTACATTCAACATGTTAACAGGACAGTTCACCTCATTTCCACTATTGGGAGTATTAGAAATTGTGTCCACAATAGGTCAAACTAGTCAACAAGGCCGAAGTGCCGAACAAAGTTTGACTATTTACGTATGATGCACAGTTTGACTATTGCAACGTCACAATGACGTAAATCAAAGATGGCGTTTTTCTGACCACGAAAGTTGTAAAAATGGGGAACTTCGAAGCGCTCTTGTGGCTAATACAAAGCAAACTAGACAAAATGGCAGTTATTTTCGAACTCCTGAGGAAAAAGTCTTTCAATTGAGATAAATTTTTTCTAGACCGTACTTTCCCTTTAAATGGTCGGCCCCTTAGAGCTTTTGTTTGAAGTGTTTGTGGGATACTTTGACTTGCGGCTTTGCGACGTGCCTCTGTGGTAACGTGCCTGGCCTGTCTGTTTTACAACCCTCAACTCAGAACTTAGATTTCAGATTTCCGGAAGACATCTTAATCACAAAGCAAACAGAGCAGTTCGTGATGGTTTTGTTTCGTGCGATTGAAGCAACAGTTATTAAAAACAATTGTTCGCCTAAGGCTCAGCGAATTTTGGTTGAATAATCCCCGTGGCGAATTAAGTCGTAAATTCGTTTTATTGCGGAAACCGTGAAATGTAAAATAATGCATGACCTTTGTACAATATCGTATAGAATAACTCGAAAGAGTCAAGGTTAGGAGAGAGGAAGTTTTTAAAAGTTAACTTCCTTAGGAACATTTGAACATTCATGAATGCTGATTATCTACAGCTTCAACTGACACGTATGTTGATTTAATTACAGTTAATTATATAACATTTCCTGTGTCTACTACTTGTCAAAAAGTTTCAACAAATTTTGAACTGACATGGAAATTTTTCAGTTACCGATTAAAGAGGCGCATTAACAGTTGGCTTACTAACCCTAATCTTAATGGGGGACATATTTGAAAAGGACAGGGCTCAAGCAAGGAAGGTACTTAAACCATAGCGATCCATAGATCATAACAACAATGTTAAGCTATTCTGAAAATTTTCAAAAACTGTGCGCCGGGTCCTTCACGAAGATAAACATTCCAAATTGCACACATAATTAGACAGCTACATTGTTGTGTTTACATTTGAGCTTTAAACTAGGTAAACAGTTGGTTACATTCGTTTTGTATTTATACTGGATCAGTTGGCGTTTACACACTGAAAATGTTTACCTTGGTATGTAAACTGTGGTACCTCGATAAAACGTTCGAGTCTAAATACGGCGTAATAGTAACATGCTACGTGAATTGGAGTCACATTGATCAAACTAGCAATTAGCTATTAATGAATATCATGTTTAATCAGGTGATCAGATGAGTAGTGAAGGTTTTTTTTTTTACTCCCAAACACCTCCTTGTTTAAAATTTATATTAACTTTAGTAGCTAACGCAATTACTGGTAACCCAGTAGTTTACCTTGTGGGCTGTAAACAAATAATTCAAATTGAACATAATATTGTTAAGAATCCCAACTGGCCGGAGGCAAACCAGTCGGCTATTTACAAGCATGGCCGAGGAATTGAACTCGGAGCTACCGTGAAACAAATCCAGGGAGTGCTCAGAGCGGGACTTGAACCCGAGAACGACGGATTGCGAGTCCGACACGCTGACCACTCGACCACGCTGCCTCCCGTTTCTTTACATTTATCCCCGGCATTTGACTTGGCTGACGGTTCTTGTTAACGAAGTTTGTCTCTTGATATTTGTCATAAGACGGTTTTCTGATGATCTATTCTTTTCTCATACTTGCGCTCCGTTTCAAATGAAAGAATCATAGAACCTCTTTAGGATGGAGGCATCATTGGGGACTATTAGAAATCGCAAAACCGTAGGAAAAAAAAACATCTTCCAAAAACCACAAAACCGAAAAAAGAAAAAAAACTTGATGAGAACCGAAAACTGGATGCGCAATCATCACCAAATGGATAACTTTTCACATCCCAGTAATCAAAACCCTAATAGATCCGATACAGAGGTTTCACAACTATTCAAGATCAAATGAATAAAAGGAGAAAGTTTCTAAATAAACTGTGGTGCTGCGTCAGTGGAGGAGTATAACACGGTAATCATGGTTTTACTGAACTGAGTTTAATTTGCAACTAATGTAAAGTGGCCACCGTAGAGAGTTTCAAAGCTGACGTTTCTTCAAAGCTGACGTTTCTTCAAAGCTGACGTTTCTTCAAAGCTGACGGTTCTTCAAAGCTGACGTTTCCTCAAAGCTGACGTTTCTTCAAAGCTGACGTTTCTTCAAAGCTGACGTTTCTTCAAAGCTGACGTTTCTTCAAAGCTGACGTTTCTTCAAAGCTGACGTTTCTTCAAAGCTGACGTTTCTTCAAAGCTGACGTTTCTTCAAAGCTGACGTTTCTTCAAAGCTGACGTTTCTTCAAAGCTGACGTTTCTTCAAAGCTGACGTTTCTTCAAAGCTGACGTTTCTTCAAAGCTGACGTTTCTTCAAAGCTGACGTTTCTTCAAAGCTGACGTTTCTTCAAAGCTGACGTTTCTTCAAAGCTGACGTTTCTTCAAAGCTG